AGAGTCGGGGTCCCGCCCCGTTGCTCAGGCTCCTGTCCCGCCGTCTGAGCCTTCTCACTTCTCTCGGCTTCTCAGTTCATGCACCCCACTTTCCTGGGCCGGGGCCCGCTTCTGCCCGAGCACGCAGGTGACCAGAGGCCTTCTCCGTGCCGGCCTGCTGGAAACACAGGGACGTCGTTACACGCAACCGATTCCGCCTTCGCCCCGCTGGCCTCCCGCAGGCCGCTCGCCTCCTGCAGCCTGCGCTCTGCCCAGTCGGGGGGCCGAGGGCTGGCGCTCGCTCGTGCCGTCACGTCCGGGCCGCTCCCGTATGAGTCCTCTGGTGCTGCCCGGCGAGGACTCCTACTGAGGGCCTCTGCGGGCGGGTCCCGCACGCTGGGCGCGCGCCCACGCTCCGGTGCTTCCGAGCCACCGCGGCCAGGCGGAAGCAGGGCAGCGCGCCGCGCCATGGTGCCAGGACCTCCGGCGCGGGCACGCCTCACCTGAGCACTTTTCCAGACCGAACACAGCCGTAACGTCTGGGCCCCGCCTGACCGTCCGCGGGCAGCCCGAGTCACGCTGAAGCCCCGCCTGCTCTGACCACGCCAGACAGTCGCGGGAGGCACCCTCCCCGTGGGCGCCTGGCACGGCCGGCCGGCCGGGCCTCCACAGTGCAGGTTGGCGACCTGCCCTGGGCGCAGGTTTCCTCACAGCTAAGTCACCGGCAGGGCCTTGTTGCTTTTAAGCTGACGTCTTGCAAGTGACCTTCCGCTCACAGCCCAGTGCACCCTGGAGGGGGCCCTCCTCTTGTGCACGCACGTTTTCTCGTGACGCCGGCACGAGTTTGAACTCCCCCGTCCTCTCTGCAGGGCTCATCTCCTGCTTTACTTCTGGGAAAAAGGTGCGTGTCCGTCGGGCTTTCACGTCGTGCTGACTTAGTGTCTTCTCTCCGTTGCCTTTCTAGCCCGAACGGCCGGCCTGAGACAGCACAGTGTCGCCGGCCCGTTCAGAAACGATGCGAAGGGCTGGAGGGGGGAGCCGGCCGGCCGCCAGGTCACGACCTTCGAACACGCCGAGCTGCAGCCTGGGTGGCGGGCGAGGGCCCAGCCGCAGCTGTGTGCCCTGGGCCCACGGGGGCAGGGGGGGCCTCTGCCGGCGGGGGGCAGTTCCTGCCGGCTTCTTGACGGGATGGTGCCCGTGGCCGCAGCCGGGGACCCCCTCCCAGGCTTGTTTGCCCAAAGGAGACACGCTGGCACGCGGGCTGGGAAAGAGCCGGCGCAGGAGAGGCGTCCCGAGGAAGCCAGGGAAGGCCACTCAGCCCAGCCTGCAGGCCTCCCCGCGCCGCCCCCCACCCCGTTCGGTAACATGAGACAAGATGGGACAGACCCCGGAGCCCTGCACGCCCGGGAAAGGACCAGGGCGCGCGGCGTGTGCTCCCGTGCGACTGCGTCTGCAACCCCTCTTGGAAACTTCTGCCACCTCCCTTCCGTGAAAGACCCGTGTCAGCACCTGCTTCCGCCCATCAAAAGAATTCCAGAGAGGCTGCGCGGAAGGCGAAAGCGACGCTACCGCTCGGCCGGCGGCAGGGGGCCGGGGCGGGTCGGCCGCAAGGCGCTGAAGTGCCGCGCCTGCCTTTCCTGTCTGAGTGTTGTCCTGGGTGCAGCGTCAGCTGGTGTGACCTGTCTGGGGTCAGCTCCTGGGGCTGGGACACGGAGCTACCGTTTGCTTAGACGCCACCTGGCGAGCGGCTGCAGAGCCCAGGAAAGGAAGCCCTGGTGGCACTCAAGGCTTGGGGGCCCTGGCCGGCTCCTCTCCTTCGCCCCCTCAGTCAGCGCCCCGCACACCTGTGTGGGGACGCCGTGCGGGCGTCTCCCAGTCCCACGGCACGCTCAGGCCCGTCCTGTCACCGCTCCCCGACCGCCCCCCCGGCCTCCACCTGCACCTGCCTGCCCACCCGCCGCTGCCCTGCCCGGCAGGGACGGGACTGCACCCAGGCAGGCCGAGACACAGACCTGCGTCCGCGAGGGCACCGAGACGGGAGGGACGTCAGGAGGCCGGTCAGGAGGCCGGACAGGGGGCCGGCGGCCGCTGCGCAGACGCAACGTGCCTGTGTGGCCGGGGCCTCCGGGCTGCTCAAGCTTAACGGTCTGTGTGAAGGCTCAGGAGCGCAAAGCAGGGCACCGTGCTGCCCTGGCGAGCCACACGCCCAGGAGGTGGGGGCAGAGTCACGGAACGGGGTCCAGTCTCCTGGGGCAGCCGGGAGAGCCCAGGCTGGGGCAGGGCCGGTCACAGCCAGATCCCGCCAGCAGCAGGATGCTGCATCTGGGCCCCGGGATCAGAGGAAGGAGGGGCGGACGACGCTTTCCTCGAGTCTGCGCGCTCGGAGCACGGTGACGAGAAGGGCGAAGGAGCCAGCTCCCGCCCGGCCTGCAGAATCCGAGCAAGTCAGTGGCGTCGGGACCAGTCACGGCCGCGGCGCTCCTGTCGGTCACGGCGTCCTGTGACCTGCTGAAAGGAGGGAACCCCACGGCCGCTGGGGCGACTCCTGCCCTTCGCTCACCAGCTGCGACTCGAGGGCCGTTTTTAACCAGATTAAAAAGTGACTTGAGTCCCGTCGAGTCAAATGCCAGTGTCAGACACCGGACGCTCGTGACGTCCTCGTTTCGGTGTTTTGCAAGTAGCAGTTCAACGAACTTACGAGACCCAACAAAGGCACACAGACGTCCTGCAGACACGACGGTAAATCCCCAACCCAGAGAGCTAACGAGACCTAAACACCCGTTGCAAACGCCGAGAAGCCCGGCGGCGGGATCGGAGCCCGCCGGAAGCCTGCAGGACAAGCTGGACCAGGCACTGGCGAGGCGACGAAGCCCGTACAGGCCTCTCGCGCCAGCGCTGGGCCACAACGATCAACGCCGCATCAGGGAACGTTAAACCCAAACCCGGCAGCCGTCTCAACAGGATTTTCCCGCCAGCCTCAACGGACTGAGGCCGGGCCGCAGCCCCGCCCCGCGCCGCTGCAGCCTGGGCTCGCAAAGGTGCGACGGCAAATGTTCGCTGAGACCGCAGGGCAGGGTCCGCACGGACGACCTGGGCCCGAGTCCCTGACGCCACGGTGTCTCCCGTGAGCACAAACGGCCAAGAAAGGGCGCTGGAGGGCCGGTGCCCACGCCAGGCCCACGGCGCCGCACATAGCTTGCAGGGGAGTGGAACAGCGGGGCGCAGCCCCACGGGCAGGGGGTGTTTCTGCCTAGCGGTGACGTGGCGCCTAGAACAGGAGCGAGAGTCTGGAAGGAAACACCTGGGCTCATACGCCTTTTTCGCGGAAACCGAAGGAACAGATCAGAGCTGGTCAGGGACGTCTGCCGCAGCCACAGGACAAGCCGTGGGCGCAACAAGAACAGGAGCGCGTGTGCACTTGCGAGACCACCACACCTCAGGGAAGACAGCACCTTCCTGAGGAGAACGTCCCGCCCGCAGCCAAGAAGGCCCCCAGCCGCGGGCGGGGCTCACTGGCTGCTGGCCGCCCTCCAGGACACGGCCTGGTGGCCCCTCAGCCCCATTCTCAGAGCCCCGCCTGCAGAGAACCTAGCGGGCCAGACACACAGGAGTTATCCGCCCCGACGGCACCGCCAAAAGGACGATCAAGATGAGGCTCCCCCAGGGCGCGGCTCCCCAGGCCCCCACGGGACGCACCGTGGACAGAGGCCGCCTGCCACCGATCAGGTTATCGTTCGGCCGTCATCCACCCACTCTCAGGCTGGGGCAGAGCCTGGAGCTGGCTGGGCGTGTCCGGCCCACGTGCCCCACACATCTGGCCCTGGCCCTGACAGGATGCCCATGCCTGGCCCTCACCTGCAAAGGTGTCTTGGGCTCCTCGCTCCATGGACCACAGCTCTTCTGCCTCCTCCAACTGAGACACCACGTCCGGCTTGGAAAGCTGATGCTCTGCCCGAGGGAAGAGAGGCAGCGCCTGGGGCTGTGTCCAGCAGCAAACACACCCTCGGGGTGTGACCCCCCACAGGGCAGTGTGGACGGACCCTGCACCTGGGAGCTGTCCTGGACCCCTCTGCCAGAGAAATGGGCAGCGGGGACATGATGCCCAGGCAGCCCTGGGCGGACACGGTCACGTGACCACAGAGACGCCAAGGCCCGGGCCCTGGTGACCCTCCCAAGAGGCCAGACGCTGACCGCACGTTCCCTGGGAGTCTCATCAGCAAGGCCAGCGTCTCCCAGGGGCCCAGCTCCCGTGAGGGGCGGTGAGGGTGGCCAGGGTGACGCCCCGAGGTCACACAGACAGTGCCCTTGTCCTAGGGACGCCGCCTGGCCTGGCCTCAGCACCTCCCTGCTGACCGCGCCTCACCCACGGCCACCAGGTTCCTGTAGTTCTCCAGCATCACCTCCCGGTACAGGGACCGCTTCTCCAGGTCCAGCAGGCCCCACTCCTCCGGGGAGAAGCCCAAGGTCACGTCGTCGAAGATCACCGGCTCCTGAAACCCAGGCTGGGGAGGTCCCTAACTGGCCTCGGGCGCCAAGCTTCCTCCCCCGCCCTAACGCCCTAACGCCCTAACGCCCTAACGCCCTCGGGCCGCCGCGGCTGGTCCCTGCCCTGCCTCAGGGTCCGGGTGGGTCTCTAGGTCGCTGCCGGGCTCTCCACGGGTCCCTCTGGCCAGTCGCGCCGAGGCGCCCCGCACCGGACGCGGCCCGGGCCC